GTTAAGTTTTGGTGGTCAAGTCCATATCTCAGATACTATAAGCAATAGGTCTAGTATATTCGGTGTATGGAAGGACTGTAAGGTGTACATGTCCAACTGGCAGGTGTCATCTGATCTTGACCTCATTTTCATGGTTCAGTGGTTATAGGTAAGTTTTTGTGTTTTGGTCTGTTTTTGTTATACTGTATGCAATAGGTCTACTATATTTGGTGTATGGAATGATTGTAAGGTGTACATGTCTAGCTGGCAGGTGTCATCTGACCTTGACCTCATTTACACGGTTCAGTGGTCAAAGTTTAGTTTACTTGGTTAATGTTAAGTTTATGTGACAGTTGTAATAAAGCTTTATATTTAGGACTATCAACATAATATCAATGATTAGTAAAGAAGGCGAGACATTTCAGCGTGTGCAATCTTGTTTCATTCATAAATTACTTTATACTTGGAAATATAATTTTGCTTGGAGTTATAGTTTCTAAAAAAAGTATTGTCATTGAAAGAGTTGACATGTTGCAATGTACATTTATTCTACATAGTTCTATGGTACCAAATCAAAAGTTTATATTAAAGAAAGAAGTCAAAGGTTTCCCATCATAGTTTAGTTACATACATTTTTTTTGTACCTGAGGTCGTTGAATATAGATCATTATATAAATAAGGAGATGTGTTATGATTGCCAATGAAACGACTATCATCCATACATTGTACTTACCAGTAACAAACCACATTTGCAAAGTTGAATAAAATACAGTTGATAACATTTACTTATTACTTAAAAGAAAATGCCAAACTATTTTAAACAGTATTTGACTATAAACATAGATAAAAAAGGTACAAACTGGACATAATGCACTAGTTCATAAACAAGTGAGAACAATCGCCTTCATATAGTGCTCAGAATATGACATTCATAAAACTTGTTCAATATCATTAGAGAACTCTAAATCTTAAATACTGAAAGCCACCTCTGATAAGTACAATGTACTATGCAAGATAATGATATAACTGGACTAAAAATACACACAACCTGTAATTAACTGCCTTTACAGCGCTTTCACGCTTTGATTATTTTTTGCGGTCGTATATTAGTATCACGTCATGGTTGTCAGCGTCGTCCGAAGACATTTGGTTTCCAGGCAATAACTTTAGTAAATGTAAATAGAAATCTATGAAATTTAAGGTTTATAGCCACAAAAGGAAGGTTGGGATTGATTTTGGGGGTTATAGTCCTAACAGTTTAGGAATTAGGGGCCAAAAAGGGGCCCAAATAAGCATTTTTCTAGTTTCAAGACAATAACTTGTGGAACAGTGTATGGATCTCTCTGAAATTATACCACAAGTTTCCATACCACAAAGGGATGGTTAGGATTTTCTTTGGGGGGTTATGGCTCAAACCGTTTAGGAATAAGGGGAAAAAAAGGGGGGAAAACAAGGGTTTACTGGTTAATGGACATTTAAAAGAAAGTGCAATGTTATGTTTGGATTACCTCCCTTACACTGCTTTTAAATTATGTATAAAGAAATGTTGTATTGTCTTTAGGTGATTAGCTGTCAATTTATTTTTAGAAGTTACTATTTAAAAATGCTGATTAAGGAATATTAATTTTAGCCATTTTTATGCCCCCGCCGTAGCAGAGGGGGCATTAAGTTTTACCCTTGTCCGTTTGTACGTCCCAAAATTGGTTTCCGTTCTCTAACTTTAGTTTGCCTCAACCAAATGTTATGAAACTTATACACAATGCTTATTACCACAAAACACAGATCAAGTTTGAATTTTGGTGGCGTTACTTTTACTGTTCTAGAGTTATGCCCTTTACAAATGGAAAATTGCTGAATTTATCGTTTCTGTTCTCTAACTTTAGTTTGCCTCAACCAAATGCTATGAAACTTATACACAATGCTTATTACCACAAAACACAGATCAAGTTTGAATTTTGGTGGCGTCACTTTTACCGTTCTAGAGTTATGCCCCTTTACAACTGGAAAAAATGCTGAATTTTTTGTTTCCAATCTCTAACTTAAGTTTGCTTCAACCAAATGTTATGAAACTTATACACAATGCTTATAAACACAATACACAGATTAAGTTTGAATTTTGGTGGCGTCACTTTTACCATTCTAGAGTTATGCCCCTTTAGAAATGGAAAAATTGCAAAATTTTTATTTTCTTCTATATATGATGTAATTTTATTAAAATTGGAGTTATCTTCCTCTGTCCATGATTATAGTTGAATCAACTACAATCAATGCTTTATACAATGCAATGTTTAATTTTGACTTCCACTGATAAAACACAGATCAAGTTGAATTTGGGTAGTGTCACTTTAATCATTATTGAGTTATGCCCCTTTATAAATCGAAAGATTGCAAAATTTTTAGTTTCCATTCTGTAACTTAAGTTTGCCCCAACCAAACATTATGAAACCTATACACAATATTCATTACCACAAAACTAAGATCAAGTACAAATTTTTTGTTTCCGTTTCCTAACTTTAGTTTGCCTCAACCAAATGTTATGAGACTTACACACAATGCTTATTACCACAAAACTCAGATCAAGTTCAAATTTGGGTAGCGTCACTTTTACCGTTCTTCAGTTATGTCCCTTTATAACTATATGATATGCAAGCGGGGGCATCATGTGTCCACATGTGGACACTATCCACATTTATTTTTTTTGGAAAAGGGGGGGGGGGGGGTGAAAAAAAATGGGGGGGGGGGGGGTAAAAAAGAAATTGTGAGGAGGGGGACAATCTTTTCACATTTCAGATTTCAGAAATTTAAAAGAAAATTTCTTCAAATATTTTTTTTTGTTTGCAAAAAAAAGGGGGGGGAGTGGTCAATTCGCAACAGCATAGTGTGTTGCACAAAAGCAAAAAATTGAATATAAATTCAAATCATATAACCAATTGTAAGTTCTTTGACTACAGTTATTCTGTGTCAGAAACCTATTATGTGTCAAATATTTAATTACAATCCAAATTCAGACCTGTATCAATCACGAATATTGTGTCCATTTCATTTTTGCCCAAACTGTCCAGGGTTGGACCTCTATGGTCGTATCCAGCTGCGCTCGGCGAAGCAATTTATTTTCATAGGAATGGCAAAATTAGTTTGCCCAACATTGATAATTGTCATATTTATTTTCTCATAAGAATTGCAAAATTAGTTTGCCCAACATTGATAATTATCACAATTAGATTCTCTGAAGAAAGGTAAAGTTGTTCAACTCAATATTGATGTTTATCACTAATTCAGATTCAATAATATATTAGAGTCTCAACAATTGTAATACATAAACATACAGTACTTACAAAAAGTATATACACAATATAAAACAAACAATCTACAAAGATAAAATACAAGTGCCATTCTATTAAAAGTTATGAGAGACTGTAAAATATATCTTGCACAAAACTATAATATAACAATTGGTTAAAGGAACTTCACTCTAAGAATGTGTAATATTAAATATTAAAGCAGGTCTTGGCAACCATATCATAATACGCGTTATTTTTGAAATAAATAGACCAATTGTCATCATCAGATAAAATATAAAAATCTAAAGTTCATCTCATTACTTCACTATATAAGAAATAATGCAAATCTGCATGTAAGGAGCATGATAAATATAACATGTTTTTTTCTCGTCCTAAATCATATCATTACATATAAAATATACTCTTTCATTTACATCTTTATTTTCATACACTGTATTTTGATTTTCAACAGAGCAAACTTCCATCAAACTCCATTAAATTACATTACCCAGTCTCAGCATCCTGTTAAACTATGTCTGGACAAATGAGAATATTCAACTGAGAAATTTCTGTAATGAAGTTTTTCACTAGATGGATAATTTGATTTCATTGTTTTTGTGACCTTGACCACTGATTTTTATACATTTTTGGGGTTTAAACTAATAAAATGTAGGATAATTTGAATATGTTATATGACCGAAACATCAGTTTCAAAATCAAAATCTTATATCAATGAAATCTTTATCTTGACAGACTAGATTAAATTGTATAAAATAAGAGAAAATAACTACCAGTTATACACAATTTTTCTGATCCAGATCAATGCTGGGAATTTTTGATGAAATTGACACTTTTTACCATCAATATTCATGTATTTTTCTACAATTAGATAGTGGTGGAAAGATACCTGATTACTGTAAACCAACTTATTTTTGCGGATACTTTATTTCGCGTTTAGTCCTTTTTAGCCAATTTCGCGGCGATTTAATTTCACGATTTTCAAATTAACTTGACATGGTTAAATATGGAAAGATCCAAGTTTTATATATTCGCGACGATTCATATTCGCGTTATTTTTCTATTCGCAAATATCTCGAAAATATTTGCGAAAATTAGTTGGTTTACAGTATTATCTTTTATCTTGAACTCCATTTTGGGATCAAGAGTCATGGACCTCATATCAAAAGACTTTTAGCATTACAACTTTCATCTTTACTCATTATAGACAGGGTTTCATTTCTTTTGGTCAAGAGTCACCAAATTTTATAGATGTATTGTTTGCCTGCTGTTTTATTGACATATACCCAACATTTCATTTTATTCATGTATATATATATCAAAATTGAACTTCTGTAAATTGTGTTTCTTTTTTCTAGAAAATTTGCCCAGAGCGACAAGAAATAAATGAATAAAGTAGGTTGGTGAAATGTTGGAAAAGACAAAACATTGTGTACTCAAACTAATCAATCAGAAAACTTAAAATTTTTAGTTTCAATGTTCCATTCTCTTTTAAGGTGGTGTTGTGGTGATTAAATTTGTTTTTTTATACTTTTAAAGTTTTTCTAGAAATCAGTTCATTTCTAGACTACTGTACTTTAGTTGCTAGAGAAAGACAGCACCTGATGATATACAATGAATGAAAGGCTGATTATATAAGGAGATGACCATTATCATCAGAGATTGAATGTTTATAGTTATAATAAGATCAGATGCTCATTTATTATTAATATATACTTACAGATTGTGTGGGTATCCACCATTTTATGACGAAAATGATTCAGTCCTATTTCAACAGATATTAAAAGCAGAATATGAATTTGATTCACCTTACTGGGATGACATATCAGAATCAGGTATACTTTTATATCATAAACATGAAACACCAGCTTATCATATCACAAATAAAACTAAGACATCATGGTATAGGGTGTCACAATCTAGCTCAATCAGGGAAATACCAGCATATCATATCACAAATAAAACTAAGACATCATGGTATAGGGTGTCACAATCTAGCTCAATCAGGGAAATACCAGCATATCATATCACAAATAAAACTAAGACATCATGGTATAGGCCTATAGGGTGTCACATTCTAGCTCAATCAGGGAAATACCAGCATATCATATCACAAATAAAACTAAGACATCATGGTATAGGGTGTCACAATCTAGCTCAATCAGGGAAATACCAGCATATCATATCACAAATAAAACTAAGACATCATGGTATAGGCCTATAGGGTGTCACATTCTAGCTCAATCAGGGAAACACCAGCTTATCATATCACAAATAAAACTACGACATCATGGTATAGGGTGTCACAATCTAGCTCAATCAGGGAGATACCAGCATATCATATCACATATCATACTAAGACATCATGGTATAGGGTGTCACAATCTAGCTCAATCAGGGAGATACCAGCATATCATATCACATATCATACTAAGATATCATGGTATAGGGTGTCAAATCTAGCTCAATCAGGGAGATACCAGCATATCATATCACATATCATACTAAGATATCATGGTATAGGGTGTCAAATCTTGCTCAATCAGGGAGATACCAGCATATCATATCACATATCATACTAAGATATCATGGTATAGGGTGACAAATCTAGCTCAATCAGGGAGATACCAGCATATCATATCACATATCATACTAAGATATGGTATAGGGTGTCACAATCTAGCTCAATCAGGGAAATACCTGTTCATCATATCATTGGTAATTTACTTATTTTTGTATGCAGATCTGACCGGTACACCATTCAATGAAGGAACATCCATCCGTTGTCCATCCTGTTAAGTTTAAAGTTTTGGTTAAGGTTGTTTACCATGAAGTGTGGTCATATCAACTTGAAACGTAGTACACATGTTCAGTATGATGTAAACTTTTAAAGTTATATCTCAAATTATAATTTTGACCCTGTTTTCATGGTTCACTTAACATGGAAATTTAGTGTGAGAGAGGCATGATGTCCTATGAACACAGATTCTTGTAATTAACTGAATCTAGCCATATAAAAGTGTTGAAACTAACTACATCATGAAACATGATTAACTGGTAATTCATGTTCAAATTATGTTTGATTGGTTGATGGTGTATAACAGCACTCTTGGCTATATTGTGGTACCCAATGTTTATTGGTGGAGGAAGCTGCATTGCCTTGAGAGAACCACCAGCAGGAAAGCAGGCAATCCAAGTCAATTAAGGACAGAGTCAAACAATTCTGCAACTAGCAGGTTAGAACTCACAACCTCACGGTTAACAGTCTAGTGATTGCTGTAGATGAACTTCTAAGACTACATTTATTTACTTGATCACATGTAACATCAGGACACTTTTCTGTCTGATTGCTTCATTTGACATTACAGGACATTTAAATGTATTTTGTTTCACTCCAAAAGATAATGAACAGAGGTTGATATACCAATAATTTAATTTTGATGTAACGCGTCTTCTGATTGGCTGACGTTGTTTTGTTTATCAGCTCATAGACATAAGTTTGTCATGTAACCGTGACGTCATCAACGTTTTTTCATGGTTTACTCCGGTTTAAAATGGAATTTGGAATTAAATTATAAGAAATGACTTTAATATTTTTTCTGTCTATTCGAAATAACATAAAAAATGTGGTGCACACTTTAAAATAACCCGCTACACGGGTTATTCATTGTGCACCACATTTTTGATGTTATTTCTTCATAGACAGAAAAAATATTACAGTCATTCCTTAATTATGTCAGAGGAATCTGAGATTTATAGCAGAGACTACTACTGTATCAAATATAGTGGTTTCAATAAGATAATGGAAGCACTATTGTTGATTAACACAGGTAGTTTCTAACAGATTTTCTGACTTTCCTTGAGGATATTTGTGATTGATGTTTCATGTGATCCTGTTGTTGTTAATAAATATCAAATTTCATATTTATATTTTGTCTTACTAAGTTTTTTCCATCAGGCTTCTGTTTAAATAAGAATTTACTCTTTTATATACAACTATGCTTCACTTGTATACTTATTCATGAGCAGAATTCAACCGATATCTGTAAGTCATTATTTGTGTGTCTTTGTGGGATTGAATTATATACAGTTTGCTATGCCATCTACTAAAGAAATCAGGTTCCTCTGTTATTTACCTGAAATTATTGCATATTTAAAGATACTGTCAATTTGTGCATGGACAGTTTGTAATTTTCAAATAAAGGTAGTTGTTACTGAATTTCCTTTTTTTTTAACCAGTTAAGTTGAGGAAGGATGGGGTGGGAATCTTTCCATGGGAAGCTGGTCTACATGACATTATAACATACTTTAAATGGAGGATGTTGTAAAATCTCCTGTTAACATTTTCTTCTTGGAAACTCCTTCATAGATTAGAGTAATATTAGGGAGGATGTTATAATGGTCCTTAGAACTTATTAGTTTGGTGGGTTTTTTCTTAATATTAAAAATGGTTTAACATATTACTGTTTAAAATATCATAGTACAAGATTGTTTTTAAAATCAGAGATGGACAAAAATATACAGGTATGACATGTATGATGCATTTATGATTGTTTATTTAGTTGTGAATTTTATGCTGCTTAAAACTCAAAGATGACCACCAAAACAGAACTACATTTAACATAGGGCAGGGCTTCCAAAAAATATTTGAGCCAGCCGGACATTTTTTTTGTCTTATCTAGATGTTAATCCCTTAAGACTAAGTAACAAAAGGTAATCAGTTGGGCATCATATAAATTATGATTGACACAAAAATTGGTATTTGACTTGATTTTAAATATGAATTCTATGTTCTGGCATTAACTGTTAAATTGACAGTGCACCATTCGAAGTGTGCAACATTATTTCTATAGGAAAATACTCAAAATTGACGTTAGATAAAGGTGTCAATGATATTTTTTGCATTTTTGAAAATTCAGATGCATAATTAAATCTCACACCTGCGCACATGCGCACAAGTGTACAAGTTCAAACTATGTGGTTCTGACGATTTTTCACTTTAAACCTTTGTTACTACCTTTTTAAATTTTCATCAAATCACATTTATATACGTTTTCTGGTAATCTGAATCTTGTTGACTAAATATATAAGATGCAAACCACTGAAATTTAAGAAAATATCTTTTAATAGACCGATTGATGTCCGATACAAAATAGTTTACCTGTCGCCTGAACAGGTAAAATCAGCTGTCAGAGAACTAATTAACCTTGATTGTAGTGAGAGGGTATTAAAGTATGGTTTGTTTTGATAGTAATTATTCATCATGTCAATTATATGACCGGAAATGTGTGGCTGTTTAAGGCTAAAGGTCAGGAAAATACGACCGTTTTGGAAGCCCTGACATGGGGTAATATTGGAAAATGCATGTAAAAGGCTGCATCTTGGAAATGTTTTCACAGATTTAATTGCTTTTATGCATGAATGATGACATAAAAGTTGCTCTTAAATTTACCTATTTTACGTTGATTTGAAAATAATACAATTTGCTATCTTTAATGCCCATTAAATTCAGGATGGCTGAAATCTTCACCATAGTTAAACTAAGGACCATATGAGAAAAACATGTTAACAGCTTGTTTTTGAAGAATGTTTAACAGATTATAGAACTCATATTATGCATAAGGATGATATATTAGCCCTTTCAATACTACAACTCAAAAAAGAGGGGATATGTTTGTTTACCCCTGTCTGTCTCTGTGTTTTATTCCATCTGAACTGCAGATCACAGCGTCCTGAAATTTGGTATCACACTTCAGGTTTAAGCATGTTATACTGTAAGATTCATTTTCACACTCAACACTCATCAACTTCCTGTTTACCAATTACTTATATTTTCTTACACGTAATGTCTATGTAGTGTAAATTCAGAAATTATTGCATGCATTTTTAACTGGATTTTCCAAGGAAAAATCTGTTATTGATTTGGGGATGTACGGCAGGCGGGCAGGCGGCTGCCAAACAGTGACAGTTCATTAACATGAAAACGCTTTGACGAAATTTTTTCAGATTTAGATATGTTGTTTCCTGTGACTAAATGAAGGTCAAGTTCAATTTTCACGATTTTAACTTTTCTCGTTGTGGAGTTGTAGCCCTTTCAGTAGCCAAAAGTGGTACTTATGTGATTGAGTTATTTCCCTTTGAACAAAAATGGTTAATTATATATATAAAGTTTGATTACACTAAGTGTTTTTAAATAATTTTCACCTGTTATCAGATTACAAAGCATATGGTAAATATCAATCATAGAATTATAATTGGAGTGACAGATTTATTTGAAAATTTTCTGTTTTCTAAGTGTTGATGATTATAATCTCTGTAGGACTGTATAGATATAGTTAGAAATTTACTGTTCATTATGAGACATTTTGAAGATAATTACAGATAAGTTTTATAGATTTTTAAAAGAAATTGTATTAATGATAAATGACATTTTGTATTTTTTTTTTCTTTTCTTTGGTAAATTGTTTGAAAAATTTGGTGGAAGGTTTGTTTGTTATTCTGTATAAACTATTTTCTGAATGTTATATGTATTTTTTTTTGATGAAGTGAACTCCTTTGAAAACTAAGCTTATATTGTCTATTAATTAACATATATTTAGTTTTCTGATTTTGGGCCCAGTTTTCAAGTTGGTCCAAATTGGGGTCCAAAATTAAACTGTGTTTGATTTCAACATAAATTAAATATATATAGGGTTCTTTAAAATGCTGAATCTAAACCTGTATTTATTTTCATTATTAATTAGATAATACCACATTGAGGTCCAAAGGGTCCTAAATTAAACTTTTGTTTAATTTCATCAAAAATTGAATTCTTGGGGTTCTTTGATATGCTGATTCTAACAATGTTTTAGTGGTTAAATCATATCTAATTTTAGAGAACTAATTTTGTTGTTTAGTCATCACTGGTTCATGGAAATAAGTTTGAGTTATTTCCCTTTGAACAGAAATGGAATATGGATTTTAGTCTATCAATGATTATCTCTGTTCAATTTATTTTAAAGGGGGCCTCGGTTGCCAAGTGGTCTAAGTAGTTACTACTGTAATCACTAGCTAGTCAACACTGAGGTTGTGAGTTTGAACCCCGCTCGTGCGAGTGCACTCGACTCCAATCTTAATTGACTAGGATTGTCAGTTTTTCTATCGAAGGTCGGTGGTTTTCTCCAGGCACTCCGGCTTCCTCCACCAATAAAAACTGGCCGCCACGAAATAGCCCAAAGTGGTGCTTAAAAGTGGCGTTAAAACACCAAAAATCAAAAATCAATCAAATCAATTGATTTTAGTCATAAGTTGTCAAAAATTTCTTTATAATAACTATTTTTTTTAAGTCATGTGTGTTATTAAGGTAGATGTCACAGTCATTATGTGGTATTTTATTTTTGTTGTGTGTGTTAATGTTTAATTTTTACTTGATCCTATTTGGGGGTTCACATTTGCAAATATCATTTTCATTTTTAATTAGATAATAGTCTATTTTAAATATTCAATCACAATCTAAATTCAGAGCTATTTTAAGCTTAAATGTTGTGTCCATACTTGCTCAACTGTTCAGGATTCGACCTCTGCAGGGAAATCCGGTTTGTTGTCACTCTGACAGCCCTTTATTTATTGCAATATTTGAAGAAATGACAAAAATGCAAGCTTAATTATTGCGATCATAGAATAATTTGCCTACAGATAAATGTATGCAATATCAGAATGCGAGTTCTTATTATTGCGATACTCATCTGGGCACATTATTCATATTAATAAAAACCTCACAATAATTTCTGAATTTACAGTTTATGAAAATAAGGAGATGTGGTATGATTGCCAATGAGACAACTATCCACCAAAGTTCAAATGAAGTGGATGTAAGCAATTATAGGCAACTGTACGACCTTCAACAATGAGAAAAACCCATACAGTATAGTGGGCTATAAAAGGCCCTAACATGAAAAATGTGAAACAATTCAATCGAGAAAACTAATAGCCTATTTTATAACAAAACAATTTACAAATAATGAATATGGCAGATATGATATTTTCGTCTCATAAAATTTTTCTCAGAAACTGAACATTATTTACCAAATACTTAAATATTTTTACACTTAAGTCCATGTATGACATTTTGTCTTATTTTTCGCAGGAGCTTGATATCACAGCTTCTTTGAGTTCAATTTATGGTGTTTACAGCATAAAATCAAATCAAGATGGACCCTCAAGTATTTTATTGGGACACTTTTACCTTAAAATAAGATCAAGATTGACACTCAAGTCTACATTTAATTGAAGATGATACCTTGAAGCTAATTGAAATAAGTGAAAGTTTAATTTTTGCACATACCTTTCAATTATTTATGCAAAAATTAAAATGATTTTGTCATGCTTATTTTTTTATTATTTGGACAAAAATCTTTAGTTATTTAGAAACCTTAACAAAATTTTGAACATTGTTGACTTTAAAAAATGAGTTGGCAAATTTTTTACATAATTAACCTCATATTATGACTGTTATTGTTACGAATAACTTCTTTCCATTTGCTAATGCCAACATGAATGATTTTATTTTGTTTTGATTTTTGCAGCAAAAGAATTTATAAGAAATCTTATGTGTAAGGATGCTAAGAAGAGATTTACTTGCAAGTCAGCTATAGCATTTCCTTGGTATGTATAAACATGTCAGCCTTATTGATGTATTTAATTCCCCCCTTTTTTTCCAAAAGAGAGGGTATACTGTTTTACCACCATTTGTCTGTACATATGGCAGTATGTCTGTCCACCCCATCAAATTTACACCAGTTTTTTCTCAGGAACTACAAATCAGAGCCTCCTTAAATTTATCAGACTTCATGGGAAAATTATTTACAATGTGGTGTGGTTTCAGATTCATCTCTCCTCGCTTTCCTATTTACCGAATACTTATATATTCTACAATATAATGGTCATGTATAAAATTTTCATCACATTTTACTTAGGAACTACAAAAAAGACCTTCCTGAAATTTGTTATTAGACTTCATTTGAACCTGCTTTACCATGTGATGAGTTTCATCACTCTTCAGCTTCTGTTTACTGAATACTCAAAGCAGGACTATCATTAGTGAGCTCACAGTTCTACTTGTTATTATTGTCTACAGAGATTCCTACTGGATCATTTCATCTGTCTACACTGGCTTGCACTTTTATTTCAAAGAATCTTTACAAGAAAAAAGGTCCAACCAAAGACAATTTATATTGACATAAATAATCAGGGAATTAGTAATACAAGCTTAGATAGAAATGTCTGTTTTTTCTATACAGTTATTTTACATTTCAGGATATCTGGAAATACGGCCTTAGACAAAGATATCCATGCTTCTGTTAGTGAAAATATTAAGAAGAATTTTGCAAAGACCAAGTGGAAGGTATATATGAATAAATCAAGATGTGCTGATAGATATTATAATGAGAGTTTCTTTATGAAACAATATGACAAAAAGATATCTTGAGGTCAACATATATTTGTTTCAGCAAAGTTGAGGGATCAGGATATTTTGGAGATTTTGATTTAAATAATGGTGGTTTTTGTTGAGCCTGCGACTTTTGTCGCAGAAGCTCGACATAGGGATAGTGATCCGGCCTTGGCAGCAGCTAACTTCTTAAAAGCTTTATATTTTAGAAGCTAGAAGACCTGGATGCTTCATACTTTGTATATAGATGCCTTATGTTACGAAGTTTCCGTCTGTCATATGTCCATTGTCCTTGACCTCATTTTAATGGTTCAGTGACTACTTGAAAAAAAATTCACCTTTTTTTTAATGTTAATTTCTTTCTTATTATGAGTAATAGGATAACTATATTTAGTATGTGCGTACCTTGCAAGGTCCTCATGCCCGTCAGACAATTTTCATTTGACCTCGACCTCATTTCATGGATCGGTGAACAAGGTTAAGTTTTCGTGGTCAAGTCCATATATCAGATACTATAAGCAGTAGGTCTACTATATTTGGTATATGGAATGATTGTAAGGTCTCCATGTCCAACTGGTGGTCAAAGTTAAGTTTTTGAGTTTTGGTCTTTTTTTCTAATACTATATGCAATAGGTTAACTATATTTGGTATATGGAAATATTTTATGATGTACATGTCAGTCTCGTAGGTTTTATTTGACCTTGACCTCATTTTTACGATTCATTTCTCAGTGTTAAGTTTTTGTGTTTTGGTCTGTTTTTCTTCAACTATAAGCAATAGATCAAATATATTTGTTGTATGGAAGAATAGTAAGGTGTATATGTCTGTCTGGCAAGTATCATCTGACCTTGACCTCATTTTCATGGTTCATTGATCAATGTTAAGTTTTCATGGTTAAGTTTGTTTCTTAGATACTATAAGCAATAGGTCAACTATATTTAATGCATAAGTTGATTGTAAGGTGTACATGTCTGTCTGGCAAGGTTCATCTGACCTTGACCTCATTTTGATGGTCCATTGGTCAATGTTAAGTTTTCTTGGTTAAGACTGTTTCTTAGAAACTATAAGCAATAGGTCACTTATGTTTGGTTTATTGAATGATTGTAAGGTGTACATGTATTTCTCGTTTGGTTTATCTGACCTTGACCCCATTTTCTTGGATCATGTTAAGTTTATGTGTTACTTGTAGTAAAGCTTTATATTTAGGACTATCAACATTAAATCAGTGGTTAGTAAAGAAGGCGAGACATTTCAGTGGTGCACTCTTGTAATTTCAACTCATTGAAAGAGTTTTTATGAATCTTTTTGCTAAACAAATTGTAGATAACTGATTAATTTATAAGTTTTTTATATTTGTATTGACATCTGAAATTAGACAAAACACAATAGGAAATTTATAAAAGACAATTATTACAGTATGAAGATATAGTTCACTAAAAAAACTAAGTTTATTCATTGCATGAATATGATATTATAAATAAGGCTAGTCTAGTAGTCAATTGAAGCTGATATTTATTTACAATAGAAGTGTTGTTAAAATAATTTATTGATATGGTAATTGAGTATGAGTGATGTCATTTGATGGTTTCAACAAAGCTTAAAAATTATATAATTAAACCTCTATCGTAAATGTGACCTTCAAATATATGTTTCAAATGAAACTGCTGTGTATGACCTAAGCAGACAAAGTTGGTCAGCTTTTGAATTAATTACAGGATGGGCTGAGCACAAGGAATCCTATTCAATATTTTTATGCCCCCGCCATAGGAGGGGGTATTAAGTTTTACTCTTGTCCGTACGTACGTCCCTCCGTCCATACGTCCCAAAATTGGTTTCCGTTCTCTAACTTTAGTTTGCCTCAACCAAATGTCATGAAACATATACACAATGCTTATTACAACAAAACACAGATGAAGTTTGAATTTTTGTGGTGTAAATTTTTTACCGTTCTAGAGTTATATCCCTTTACAAATGGAAAAATTGCTGAAATATTCGTTTCAGTTCTCTAACTTTAGTTTGCCTCAACCAAATGTTATGAAACTTATACACAATGCTTATTACCACAAAACACAGATCAAGTTTGAATTTTGGTGGCATCACTTTTACCGTTCTAGAGTTATATCCCTTTACAAATGGAAAAATTGCTGAATATTCGTTTCCATTCTCTAACTTTAGTTTGCCTCAACCAAATGTTATGGAACTTATACACAATGCTTATTACCACAAAACTCAGATCAAGTACAAATATTGGCAGTGTCACTTTTAAATTTCTTGAGTTATGTTCCTTTATAACATCATATGCAAGCGGGGGCATCATCTGAGTCCCATTGACACATTCCCCATTTATCTGTGTAATGTTCTGAATAGGATGCACTTTATCGCTTTTTGTGGTGTTCAGATGGTTGAAATTACATATTTTAAATTTTGTGTTTATAACATCATTTGCATAAATTTTTATACGACCGCAAAAAAATTTTGTGGTCGTATATTGGTGTGACATTGGCGTCGTCGTCGTAGTCGTTCGTTGTCGTCCGGCGTCGTCGTCCGAATACACATTGGTTTTCGCACTCTAACTTTAGTTTAAGTGAACGGATCTTTTTGAAATTTGACCATAAGGTTATATACCACAAAAGGAAGGTTGGGATTGATTTTGGGGGTTATGGTACCAACAGTTAAGGAATTGGGGGCCAAAAAGGGGCCAAAAATAAGCATTTTCTAGTTTCCAGACAATAACTGTGCAACGGTGTATGGATCTCTCTGAAATTATACTACAAGTTTCCATACCACAAAGGGATGGTAAGGATTTGCTTTGGGGGGTTATGGCTCAAACCGTTTAGGAATTAGGGGCAAAAAAGGGGGAAAAACAAGGTTGTCCTGGTTAATGGACAAATACTTTAGTACAAAACATAATTTAAAGCAGTGTAAGGGAGATAAATCAAATACATCATTGAAATTATCTCCCTTACACTGCTTTTAAATTATGTATAAAGTAATGGTTAATGAACAATAAAGATAATTTAAAACAGTGTATGGGAGGTAATCCAAATACAACGTTTTAGTTACTTCCCTTACACTGCTTTTAAATTATGTTTAAAGAAATGCATATTTATAAAGGAAGACCAGTAAAAATATCTGCAAATGTTGCATCTTTTTTTTTTACAAAAAAATCCATATGAAAGATTTGACACTATATTTTTAATTCTATTATAAAATAGATTAAGTTAGCACTATGGTAAATTTAAATGGGTAATTATGGTTGCCAACTCCATTGGAAATTTGAATTGAGATTATGACTATATCTTGAGGGAAAGAATTTTTGGGGGGAAAAAAGGTGGGGGGGGGGGGGGGATAACAAGAAATTGTGGGGGGTCAATTTTTTCTCATTTCAGATTTCAGAAATTAAAAAGAATTATTCTTCAAATATTATTTTTTTTTCAAATTTCAAATATTGAAAAATTTCAAGAAGTAATCTTTAATTGCACAGTATGGCGCATTAGATTTGTAAAATCTTTGATCACATTTATTTATTTGTTATGCCGAATCTAACAGTGTATTTAGATTTTTAATTTTGGGTCCAGTTTTCAAATTGGTCTACATTAAGGTCCAAAGGGTCCAAAATTAAACTTTGTTTGATTTTAGCAAAAATTGAATATATGAGGTTCTTTGATATGCTGAATCTAAACATGTATTTAGATTGGCCCAGTTTTCAAGTTAGTCCAAATTGGGGTCCAAAATTAAACTTTGTTCGATTTCAACAAAAATTAAATATATGGGGTTCTTTGATATGCTGAATCTAACCATGTATTTAGATTTTTTATTTGTGGACCCCGTTATCAAATTGGTTCATATTGAGGTCAAAAGGGTCCAAATTTAAACTTTGTTTGATTTCATCTAAAATTGAATAATGGGGTTCTTTGATATTCCAAATCTAACCGTGTATTTAGATTTTTAATTTTGGGTCCTGTTTTTTAATTTGGTCTACATTAAGGTCCAAAGGGTCCAAAATTAAGCTTAGTTTGATTTTAACAAAAATTGAATTCTTGGGGTTCTTTGATATGCTGAATCTAAACATGTGTTTAGATTTTTGATTATGGGCCCAGTTTTCAAGTTGGTCCAAGATAGGGTCCAGTATTTAAACTTTGTTTGATTTCAACAAAAATTGAATATATGGGGTTCTTTGATATGCTGAATCTAAACATGTATTTAGATTTTTGATTATGGGCCCAGTTTTCAAGTTGGTCCAAATTGGGGTCCAAAATTAAACTTTGTTTGATTTCCACAAAAATTGAATATATGAGGTTCTTTGATATGCTGAATCTAACCATGTATTTAGATTTTTTTATTTGTGGGCCCCCCTATCAAATTGGTTCATATTGAGGTCAAAAGGGTCCAAAATTAAACTTTGTTTGATTTCATCAAAAATTGAATTATTGGGGTTCTTTGATATTCCAAATCTAACCGTGTATTTAGATTTTTAATTTTAGGTCCCGTTTTTTAAATTGGTCTACATTAAGGTCCAAAGGGTCCAAAATTAAACTTAGTTTGATTTTAGCAAAAATTGAATTCTTGGGGTTCTTTGATATTCCAAATCTAACCGTGTATTTAGATTTTTAATTTTAAGTCCCGTTTTTTAAATTGGTCTACATTAAGGTCCAAAGGGTCCAAAATTAAACTTAGTTTGATTTTAGCAAAAATTGAATTCTTGGGGTTCTTTGATATGCTGAATCTAAACATGTGTTTAGATTTTTGATTATGGGCCCAGTTTTCAAGTTTGTCCAAGTTGGGGTCCAAAATTAAACTTTGTTTGATTTTAACAAAAATTGAATATATGGGGTTCTTTGATATGCTGAATCTTACCATGTATTTTGATTTTGGACATTGGACCATAATAGGTAAATTAAAAAAATTCAAGTTCTTAGACCACATTCTTTCTGTGTCAGAAACCTATGCTGTGTCAAATATTTAATAACAATCCAAATTCAGAGCTGTATCAAGCTTGAATGTTGTGTCCATACTTGCCCCAACTGTTCAGGGTTCGACCTCTGCGGTCGTATCAAGCTGCGCCCCAGCGAAGCATTTTATTAACTTTGAGATAAAATAACTTCATAAATGTAATTCTTATTCATTCTAAAAGAACTACATTTATATCACAGACAATATATTATAATTTTTCAAATATTTGACTTTTCTTTGTTAATAGCAAGCCTTTAACGCAACAGCTGTGATTAGACAGATGAAGAAATTAGCAATGAACAAAGAGGACCATTCTCAATCACCACACAGACCAACAGCATCGGCCAGTCTCCACACCTAGCATACTTGTCTCCCTTTAAGACTGTGGCATATTTTCATGTTTACCAAGACTGCAGTCGGATGTGTTATTCCAGTGAAGTTTGGATCACAATCTGCAGGTGTCTGGGACCATATGATAAGTCATGTGACTGTTTTTATTGCTTTGGTGCAGATATGATGAGTTGTGTTGACGTATTGGTAATGCATACATGTACTGTGTATTTATCATATATGTTTATGACCTGTTTAAGTTTATATACATTTAAGAATTCCAAGTTTAAGTTATTTACAAATTTCCAGATGTTAAGAACAAACTGCTTAAGATAATTTTTAGCGTCTTTCAGCATTTGAAAGAAAACTGCATTGGGTCTGCCATTTTGTAAAAACAAAGTTCTGAACCAGAAATAACCACTACTTATTGGCATTTTTTAATACCTGATCTGGACATAAAAAAACACAGGACCCTATAAGTTACAATGGGGTTAAGAATAGGACTTTGTCCTGTGGAATTTTGTTGTTGTTTTAAGTCACTAGATATAGACTTGGTTGTTTGCTCATGTTATTTGCCCTGTTACTTTTTTTACCTAAACTAGCTTACAGGCTTCTTCTGTAGTCCCAAGTTGATAAATTTATATTTTAGTGATCATTAGATGACCAACCCTACACATGTATACAATGGATAGTGTATATATGTCTGCAAAGTTCAGTATTAAATCTGTGTAGGTTATATACCCATTGCTTGAACAAAATCTCACCAGAACAGTATTTTTTTAGTCATCTTAAAAGATCAACTATCAAGTTATTTAAGTTAATCAGCAAGTTTTTTTATGAAAGTGGTTAATACCTTGTATTTTATCCAACACCAAATATTGTAGTTTGGCAAATTTTAGCATTTTCAAACATTAATTCATTTAAATTAAGCAAATGAGTGGTTAACTAAACAAGTGTTACAGACTTTACCTAGCGTAAATGATTTAAAGAAATAAAGGGGTCTAAGGGACTAAAAAGGACCAATGCCCCAAAAAAAGTAACTTACACTTCAAGTCAGATTACTATGCTATTTTTCAATTGAATTTCCAAAGAAAACAATTTTGTACCGGATTCATCAAAGCATTGCTGTAGCTAAACTAATTTTTGATAAATGTATTTTTCAGCAAATGATTATATCTTTTTACAGCTTTTTACAATACTTTGTCCATACCTACATAATTTACTCATGTTCAACTTTTCAATGTCTAATTGCTGCTAGTGTATCCTGCTGCATAAAGTGTAGCTCATTATTAAACATGATATTCTGGTAGTAAAATTTATTACTTGAAAGTAGAAAATATTTCAGTTTTGGAGATGTATTGTACAATGTATTTTATCATTTATTATAATGGCACTTTTCTGTCTCTTTTTATCCATTTTTTTTGTTTAGAACCAGTTAACATTGACATTTCAGTATTGTGTATCTCATGTTACACTTGACGAGTGATTGCTCATGGTTGTTTTATGGGTAACTACCAGAGATTTAATTCCAATCACTAAATATCTGTTTGTATTGTGACCAACAAAAGCATGCTTAGTGGAACCATAGTACATTAAATAGTAAATAATATTTTGTTCTTCAAATAGATAAATCACTGGTATTTTCTTTTCTAACAATTTTTTTAAAGAGTGTTCAAACATCATATATATACCGGGGTAAACAGGGAATGTTTGCTCATTGATGAACACTATAAATGAAATATTAACAGGGATAAAACCCACCTTAAAGTATTTAGTATCTACAATATTTATTTATAATGAGGGACAGCTTTAAGCACTTGCCAAAGCATGATATTTGCTATTTCAATTCCTATTAAGACATTTTTTTTATTAAGTCGGGTACTAATAACCCTATTTGTTTTAATTGAAAAATCGACGAGGGTTTTTTTTAACGACCTTGACTACCCATAAGGGTCTTGCACGGTAGGTTAAAATGACAGATTTTTGTTAATTCAGAGTACTATTATATCTTTTGGCGTTGTGTGTCAAGAGAGGAAAGGAATTGTATAGTTTTTAATCATGTTCATTGATATTTAGAAAATAGGTATGAATGACTTGTACTTGAAACAATTTTTTCATTGATATTGTTGTAATGGGTGGTAACTCTGCAGATGTCTAAAATACAGGTTTTATCATTTAAAAAAAAACAGAGATAAAAGTCAAATATAATTGATGGAAAGTAATACAAGAAAAAGAAAACACACAATCATTATCTGTGTGAGTCCAAAAAAATTTTAAAGTAACAAATAAGAGTTGAAATTCTTAGTAAGCGTATGTCTGTGTGTCATGTAGAAGGTATTTGTGTCATGAGTGTTGTTTTTAGGGGGAGATTATTTAGTGTTTTATTTTCAATTGCATATAATTTATTCATCTCAGTATCACAGTTTCAATTGCATTATTTGAATTTAGAATCAAAAGTCATATATATCATAACGTATGCATGGTTTTAAATTATTTATGTTGTTTACTGTGAAATGTTGAACCCCTTGAGAAAAGGTGGGGAATATTTTCCTTCAATCGTTTTAACGAATTAAACATTGTACTGTTATGCATTTTGTTATATATTTTTGAATTGTCATTTATGCTATTAAGATTTTTGCTGTTGATGTAAATGGCTTCTAAGTTTACGGGTTGTAAACTTGTTGGTTCTGAAAAAATATGTAATTTGATTAATAGGTCTTATGGTTGAATATGGTAAATATGTAAGTTATTTCAAGACAAAAAGTCATTGCAATCTAAATTTTATTTTGATTTGACATTAGAGCTTAAACAGTTTTTCTAATGACAAGAAATAGATTAAATACAATTGGTAATTGAATTGTATAAGTTTAATTAGATTAATAGGAATACTTTTTGAAAAATTCATTTTAAAGGCAGCAAATATATTCCCATGTTTTAAATTAAAATTGAGGATGACTTTACTTAATTTATAATTTCAAATATCATTATACTGAAGCGTAAACATGACTAATATTAATCTGGAAATAAAGTTTGATAGATGTCCATCTTAATAAAAGTTGTGTCCACAATTCAAGTGTTCTAACTTGTAGAAATATAGTTTGATAGATGTCCATCTTATTAAAAGTTGTGTCCACAATTCAAGTGTTCTAACTTGTAGACATGTTCTAGTCATATAACACTAGGCTACTTGAACCCTTATATCTCATGGTGTGATGAGTGAACAATTTATTAAATAAAAAGTAAAAAGTAAATTTTTTAAACATTCCAAGTCCCATGAAGAAATTATAACACGATGGCTACTATTTGAATTATGTATACTATTTCTGCAGAGCTTACTCTGATATCCAATGTTTTTGGGTTGGTGTTTTTTGTATTACTATGTGTAGAAAATAACTATGTTGGACCATTATAATACATTATGTAATAAATAGAAAACATTGTATAAGTATGTAGAGAACAAATGACACTTGTAGACTTTAGACATACATTATGTAGTTAGGAACAACTTAAGACATACATTATGTAGTTAGGAACAACTTAAGACATACATTATGTAGTTAGGAACAACTTAAGACATACATTATGTAGTTAGGAACAACTTTAGACATACATTATGTAGTTAGGAACAACTTTAGACATACATTATGTAGTTAGGAACAACTTTAGACATACATTATGTAGTTAGGAACAACTTTGAATATGAAAATTATGATAATCTGTGTTAATAAAAAAATTAATGCATTTAATTACCTCATCATGACATTTGCTAAAAGTGTTCTGTTCAGATTGTTACAAGATACTTGTACTTACAATGTTTTAGCATACATTTTAAGGTTTTTTCAGGTGAAAATTGTGATCATCTTATGTAAATTACCTAAAGATTGATATAAAAATAAGCATCGTTTAATTTTAATATTTTTTACTTTTTAAAGTTTTGCAAGTTGAATCTGTTTTTTTAAGTCTACAAAAGCATGGATTTTTTTTTTAAATTTACTTCAGACTTTGTTAAAATAATAAATGCAGTCAATTATGCAATTTTTTTTGGCAGGGATTCTTGAAAATGTTGGATGTGTAATCTGGTTGGCTGTTTTGAAGTCCTCTTAATTTTAAATATTTTCTTTGATTGATAAAAATAATATTTGTTTTGACAGAGCTTATATTCTACTTTGATATTAATGGTAACAACTGATATTTCTTGTGCATGATTTTTTTTCTTATCAAAGAAATTTCAATGCCATATATATCATTAGTCTTGTTTTGTATGTCTGATGGTCATCATATTCCTAAGTAAGGAGTTTTTTTTAGTGCAAGTGATTAAACAAAGTGTATGTAGTATGATATGTATTGATAATAATCATGGGTATATTTTGAAGTTATATTCTTGATCTTAAAATTATACGTTAGATTAGAATAGCAAAGAAAGTAATTACATAGGTTATATTTATATATTTATTGATGATAAAAAGTAATTTGTATAAGCAATTGGGAGTTCTGGATACAGTTTTGGGCTCAGTTTGTCAAGTGTCAATGTTCTATACTATGGACTCATCAGAATCAGCTGGGACTCAAAATTTCAGAAAATGATGAGTCCCAGGACTCACCCTAAAAAATGTTGTAGTGAGAACCCTGTGTTTATTTAGAGAGTTGATATGAGTTAGGATTTTTATGTCGGGTATCAACTGTGGTAAAAGGATATCTGTATGTAAAGCTATACAAAACCAGGTGAAGTTAGTTACCCAGAATTTCATATGAATGGAATTTACTATTATAACTGTTTAAAGATCCGGTACTTAAGCAGTCTTATATATGAATTGCTATACTTTAGCAGAGCTAGGTAGAAATTTTCATGCATTCAAGACGCAACTAGATTTTGATATTTTTTCCTATTTTATTATACATTTGTATATTGAAACCAGTAAAAACAAACTTTACAAAAATTTTTAAATGTGCAGAATCATGCAAATCTAAGCTAATACTTTAGAAACATTTAAGAATAAATCAATTTGTGAAATGGTCTATTTCTGTTTTGTATTTGAATTATAAATATTTAGTTATGGTACATGTGTAGAAGTTTTCTTAAGAAACAATATATAGAAAGTTCATTCAAATTAACTATTTATTAATGCTACAACCATCCATGTTTAATGATAGGTTGACAGAACTGAATAAAACAAAAGGAAATAAATCAACAGACCATCATCATATATTATTACTGCTTAACAATGGAATTTTAAAGTTTTGCATTTCAAAATGTCTGGATCACAATCAGTTTAGGCTTTCCATGTTGATTTTTTCTTGTTGATGTTGTTATTTTGGACTTTTTTGTCTTAAAAGTCTATTAAAATTTGTACTTTACTTTATTTTTTCTAAATGTATGTTTATATTTCTGCACTTTTCAACATAAATACTTTAAATTGTTTATTTGTCTTCAAAATTTACTCTGGAAATAGAACATGCATTTAAAAATACCTACATAGTGCATGTAATATCTTACATTTCTTTGTGACAGGTTGCTCAATGCAGTTGACCATAACGAACCTGTCACCTTTTAATAGGCCTATATGATGCCTTACCCTTTTTATACGCCCGTTTACGGGACGTATTATGGTATACCTCTGTCCGTCTGTCCGTCCGTCCGTCTGTCCGTCTGTCCGTCCGTCCGTCTGTACGTCTGTCCGTCCGTCGTCAACATGTCGGACATTAACTCAAAAAAGATTTAACCAATTTGCATAGAACTTTGGTGAATTGTTTATATCTATTGACGTGAGCTCCCTTTCGTTTTTTATAAATTTTAGATTTTACGTTTCCGAGTTATGGGGTTTTATTCATTAAAAAAAGGGGGATTTTCCAGTTTTCGGACAATAACTCAAAAATGCTTTCACCAACTTGCAAGAAATTGTGGTGAATTGTTTATATCTATTGACATGAGCTCTCTTTCGATTTTTATATATTTTAGATTTGACGTTTCCGAGTTACAGGGTTTTATTCATAAAAAAGGGGGATTTTCCAGTTTTCAGACAAAAAATCAAAAATGTTTTCAGCAGTTCTTATGAAACTTTGGTGAATTGTTTATATATCTATTGATGTAAGCTCCGTTTAGAATTTTATAAATTTTTCATTTATCATTTCTGAGTTATGGGGTTTTATTCATTAAAAAAGGAGGGGATTTTCCAGTTTTCAGACAATAACTCAAAAATGCTGTCAGCAATTCTCATGAAACTTTGGTGAATTGTTTATATCTATTAATATAAGCTCCCTTTACATTTTCATAAATTTCTAATATGACATTGAGAATTAATTGAACTTTATTTGTTTATAGTCTGACAACAGATTTACTAAGTATTGCGCAATGGCACAGTGTATTGCTCAACAGCAAGAAATCTTTAATTGAATATAAATTCAATTCATATAACCAATTTCAAGTTCTTTGACTACATTTATTCAAAAACCTATAATATGTCAAATATTTAATTACAATCCAAATTCAGATCAGTATCAAGCTTGAATATTGTGTCCATTTTTGCCCCAACTGTTCAGGGTTGGACCTCTGCGGGCGTATCCAGCTGCGCCCAGCGAAGCAGTTTATTTCACAATAACACAATACACAATGCTTTATATTGCCACCTTAAAGTCAACATTCTGTCAGTCTGCATATATACGAAGTATGAATTTTCGGTAAAGGAATGCTGCTATTCACATTGTTGCGAGAGTATACTGCCTTCTACAATTTCTTAAGACTATATAAAAATAGCACTTTGTCAATTTCATGTATTTGATGCATTTTTCTGGATTTACCTTCATCAGGAAAGTTCAAACTCAAACACTTGAAAGCCAGGGATGTTTTTTTTCTTGTTTGAATTGTTTTACATGTGTCATTACAGGGCCTTTTATAGCTTACAATGTGGTATGAGTTTTGCTCATTGTTGAAGCCCGTACTGTGACCTATAGTTGTTAGCTACTATGTTGTTTGGTCTCTATTGGAGAGTTGTGTCATTGGCAATCATGCCACATCTTCTTATCTTTATATATGTATAAATATGTAGAAATGTTAAAAGCTATATGCCAAAGGGACATAAAAAGAAAAACTAAATTCCACTAAGGTCAGCTTTACATGCGGCAGTTGGAACTTGAATTTCTTAGTCATTTCTTAATTTATAAACAGGGAATTTAAACCAAGAAGCCAGAACAGTGTATACATACATATAAACTTGTTATGTATTTCAGCAGATTTGAGAATAGGAATGTTCAAACCTGACATAAACACCAATACCATACTTATCAAAGCATTATATTGGCAATGCATTTCACTGAAACTTCGGCTTAAAATGCTCTCTTTAAAATCAAATGATAGTTTAACATTCACTAGAAGTTACTGTTTTGTGCCATTCTGTCTAAATAATATGTTTATGTCTCAAAAACACAGTCAAATGTCCCTAAAGTATAACCTGTAAATAAAGAGAACTTGTGAAAACAAATGACAATCCGCATACATTCTTTGCTTATGTAAGAAGATGAAACCTTTTAAAATACCAAGGGCATACATTTTCAATTTGCAGTATTAATTCAATCATTCAATCTAAGAATGTGGTGAAAATTTGAGCTGATTGCTGGAAAAGTACCTTACCATCCATTATAAGTTATATGGTTTGCTACTGACCCCTTACGGATCCATAGAGGGTTAGTAAAATCCATAGGGGGTGAGGACCTTTAAACCAATCATAAGGTCATAATTTATCTGAGATGCGATAATATCAATGACTGACTTTCTGTAATATCTGATTATAATAAAAGTTGGGACTCCATGGGAAAAACATTCATTTTAATGATTTCTTTATCTTTTCCTTGACCTTCAGGCTGATTGCATTGTGAAAGATACATTTTTTGTCCTGTGCAGAGAGTGGTCCTTGAGGGGGTAATTTCTACCCCAAGTGCTAAGAAAATTGTAGTTGCCACAGTGGTGTACGAAAGGCCATTTGAATCAAAAATGTAATTCAATTTGAATATATGAACAGTATATTGAACTATTCACCTGGAAAATTCAAAGAAAAAAATATTATCCTTATCCATGTGAAAATGGAGGCAAAATAAATATTCTAAGAGATTTTCTGAAAGAAAACTTCATCATCATATGAGAACTTAACAACATATCATATTGATATAAAAATAAGATGTGGTATAATTGCCAATGAGACAACTCTCCACAAGAGACCAAATGACACAGAAATAAACAACTATAGGTCAAACAATTCAAACAAGAAAACTAACGGCCTAATTTATGTACAAAATAATGAATAAAAAACAAATATGTTACACAGCAACAAACGACAACCACTGAATTACAGGCTCCTAACTTAACTAAATAGCCTGTTTAACCTGCCAAATTTTCCAACAAGAACCTGTATTTTTACCCATGACAAACAATCAACTTATCATATTGATAATTAGGTTCTGTTTATAGCAGTCCATCACCACAACAATTACACTGCTACCTATATGCCTCATATTGAAAATCTTCTATTGTAAAATCATTGTACTGGTCTAATGAAGTTTGTAAAAAAAACACAATACTGAGATCTCCTGAAAGTCCTATTCAATTTACCCATTTGTAACTTTCCACTTTTATGGAGTAAAATCACACCTGAATATGGAGAATATTCCTCAAAGATGATTAATTACGCAAGGTCTTGCAGTTACTATCATTATAATATTTCCTTGATAGAGGACTGCTGCTTACAAGGAAGGCATCGAATATCTTAGTGTTCTCTTCAAAAGTAATACAAACACCATCAAGATTTGGATGACATATATAAAATATTTGTCTTACAGATGACCACACATATGTACTCATTGTTTTAGCTACAACCATTAACTCCCATCATTATTAGCATCACCCTAAGATACTTATCACCAGATTTTTGTCATGAGGGCAGATCATGCAAATTGCAGAGCAAGAATTGCTTACTCTTCCAGGACACCAGAGTACTCATTTCTTATGGGGTTTATGTTTCTTCATTTTCTTTTTTTTTTTTTTGGGGGGGGGGGGGGGGGGGGGGGGGAGGGGGTAGTGCTTTGTGTCCCATCCCTATTGGTAGCTTCTATGACCATTAATACATTGGCATGATACCTATATTAGAGGCATTAGCAGTTTACCAATGTTCAATCCCAAAAATTAAGAAGAAGATACATATCAAAGCAAAAAAACAAAAACATAGAGAATCGCAATGACTCTAAAAGGAGGGAGACTTGGTGCTTTGACAGAGTTAGCATCTTCTACTATGCATGTATATCTTTACAATGTGAATCCACACTCAGTCAAAATGTCAAGCAAGTTCAAATTAAGGTACAAAACAAATACAAAACCGATGGATTGTGATGATGTCAATGACAAAAAAATGTGGAGAATGCAGTTGTCTGGTTAATCAGCATAATAATCCCAGTTAATTTAACTCCGTAGAACTAATGATTATGAACTTGTTTTAAATTTTCCATGAGTTAGTAGCACATATGCCTTTAGATAATGCTTATAAATTATCTTAAAAACAAAACATATGTGTCTAGTTTAAAATCGAGGGGTTTCTTAACTTTTGATCAAGTGTTCATGTATTTATTATAAGGGTTGTTTGAGACTCTTTCGATTAGTTTTAAGGAACAAAAGGAACATATGTAATATGCCTCTCACAAATAAGATACCTCTTCGGTAGTTGCCATTTTTTCGTTGTGTTTCGTCCATTTTGAAATTTGGTTTTGATAGCAGATTTTCGGTGGCCAATTCACAACTTATGTCTAGATAGATATAAGAAGATGTGGTATGAGTGCCAATGAGACAACTTTCCATCCAAGTCACTATTTGTAAAAGTAAACCATTAAAGGCCAAAGTACGACCTTCAACACGGAGCCTTGGCTCACACCGAAAGCAAGCTATAAAGGGCTCCAAAAATGACTAGTGTAAAACCATTCAAACAGGAAAACCAACGGTCTAATCTATATAAAAAACGAGAAACGAGAAACACTTATGAACCACATCAACAAATGACAACCACTGAACAACAGGTTCCTGACTTAGGATAGGTGCAAACAAATGCAGCGGGTTTAAACGTTTTAACAGGCGCCAACCTTCACCCTAACCTGAAACAATAGTGTAACGTCACAACATAGAAAGACACACTATAAACTCTTGATTATTGGCAGCTTGACATATATGGTATGGGCTGTGTTACTATGATTGGAAGCAATGCACAAAGTTTTATATTCAGAAGGTAGAGCTGGATAATCTTATAATACGATGTCTATTTCCATCTGACATATGTCCTTTGTTCTTGACCTCATTTATGGTCTCGGACTGCTTGCAACATTGTTTAGTTTTTTCAACACATGATTTTTGTCAGTTATGAATAACCTTCTCTCATTTCATGGTTTAGT